GTAAAGTCCCTCTTCAGACCAGGGTATAGTGACGGTTATGTGGTGCTCATTGTATGGCCTTGTACCGAGTATGGTGTGAAATTTTAAGACGAGTTAAGAGTGCTGTGTAGCGTCGTGTGGTGTAGTGTTAAGTGATATAGTGATGCGCTGTGTTGTAGTAAGTAGTGTGGTGATGGAGTGGTGTAAAGTGTTCATCAGTGGGGTGATCTGGAGTTTTGTGGTGTGAAGCACCAATGACTGTTGTGGTATGGTGAGGCGTGGTGTAATGTAGTGCTCTGTGGTGTAGTGTGGGCAATATGGGGCCCCGCCATATAGTCTGGAGTAGACAGGAAGCATGTAGACACCAGAGTGTGGGAGACGTCACCAGAGTGTGGGAGACGTCACCAGAGTGTGGGAGACGTCACCAGAGTGTGGGGAGACGTCACCAGAGTGTGGGGAGACGTCACCAGAGTGTGGGGAGACGTCACCAGAGTGTGGGAGACGTCACCAGAGTGTGGGAGACGTCACCAGAGTGAGAGACGTCACCAGAGTGTGGGAGACGTCACCAGAGTGAGAGACGTCACCAGATTGTATGAGATGTCACCAAAGTGTGAGAGACGTCACCAGATTGTATGAGATGTCACCAGAGTGTGAGAGACGTCACCAGATTGTATGAGATGTCACCAGAGTGTGAGAGACGTCACCAGATTGTATGAGATGTCACCAGAGTGTGAGAGACGTCACCAGATTGTATGAGATATCACCAGAGTGTGAGAGACGTCACCAGATTGTATGAGATGTCACCAGAGTGTGAGAGACGTCACCAGATTGTATGAGATGTCACCAGAGTGTGAGAGACGTCACCAGGATGCTCATCCAACAATGTGTCAAGACTCTTCGTATTCCGGAAATATATCAGCATATCTAAAGGTTTCTCAATATACAAAGCGGATGGCAGAGATCAGATCATAGAAGAACTGAAAGATAATAAACGAGGATCTATACATACTCGAGAGATGGTACAAATAATAGGTACTGGATTTTAACAATGACAAAACATGATGTTTATAGAGATTATAGAGTCAGAAGAGAGGAGGCCCAAGGAACCGTAAAGATGAGATGCCATATAACTTATCAGAGGTAAATTGTTCTGGACAAGAGATGAATGGAAACCATAGGTAACTATAGCAAGAATAATTAGAGTACACACAGATTTTCAAAATATTCGAATATCATTAAAAAATTTCGAAAAAAACAGCATTCAAAATGTTCAAAACAACAGACATGAGATCTGGCCTTGAGTATGCAGACCAGGCCTGAACCCCCAAACCTGAAATATTATATATATAATGATATATGGTGTGATGACGAGAGCCGGAATGGGCTAGCGTTCCTACCTATCATCAGTCACTACCAGAGAGCGACCTCTAGCTAGTCACACCCCGCCTACTGGCCTCGTTATACTTGAGTTATAACAATGATGATGAGTTGCTGAATATATAAGTGCGACGTCCCTACCTCCAGCGTGACGTAATGATGTCATATGAGCCACATACCTGAAGAAGAAAAGCCACATATTAATATTGGATGCTCCAGTAATTAGCACAATATTTTTTATCGAGCCAAGTCGGAAAATATACAGAGGAAATTTTAGATACCTAATTATACATATATTTCATTTTTTGTTGTTTTAACTGTGAAGCCCCCAGAGTCCTCGCCCGAACTTATTTCCGAGATGCCAACGATAAAGTGCGATAAATCGTAACCATAAATTAGCAGCCGAGATTAAAATCAGGGCAGAGCTGTGAACTTAAGATGGTTTCTTTGTTTGGTGGCTCCTATTGTGTTCAGGAGGGTGAGCCCGCGGCTACCCGTACGCCAGTGTAGGAGGGACACTCCCTATACGCCAGCGTGGGAGGGACGCTCCTTATACGCCTGCATGTGTATGTTTACATTGTCACCCAACATGGTCCCCTACATCATGTTACAGACGTCAGCAATTACATGAATGATCACGTTAATCAGAGGAAACATTTCCGATAATGTTGGCTGTATTATCTAAACTGTAAACCAAAGTTTACAGTTGACAACACTGATAAGGATTCCACACACTTGTGAAATCTATTCTTAGGTGTAACTCTTATTGCATAGGTGCGGTTAAGAAGTAAAAATTATCAAAGTTATTGACGGTGATAATTTTTCCTCTAACGCGAATATAAATTTTCAAGGGTTCTATGCGAGCGCGGGAAAGTGGCGTGCTTCATTAGCCTCCTCCTTGACTCTCCCTGGAAACTGGAAGGCATCCAGGAGAATTTGTGAGCGAGCGCGGGAAAGCAGGAGTGCAGCCGTTTAGCGAAAACCCAGAAATGTTCACGCCGGAAATATTAAATATTAAGGGCTCAGAGCGAGCGAATGGACACTGTTGGATTAACTGGGTCCGTGACCTTCCAGAGGCTGCCACGGTCGCTGCAGGGTCCGTGACCTTCCAGAGGCTGCCACGGTCGCTGCAGGGTCCGTGACCTTCCAGAGGCTGCCACGGTCGCTGCAGGGTCCGTGACCTTCCAGAGGCTGCCACGGTCGCTGCAGGGTCCGTGACCTTCCAGAGGCTGCCACGGTCGTTGCTGGGTCCGTGACCTTCCAGAGGCTGCCACGGTCGCTGCTGGGTCCGTGACCTTCCAGAGGCTGCCACGGTCGCTGCTGGGTCCGTGACCTTCCAGAGGCTGCCACGGTCGCTGCTGGGTCCGTGACCTTCCAGAGGCTGCCACGGTCGCTGCTGGGTCCGTGACCTTCCAGAGGCTGCCACGGTCGCTGCTGGGTCCGTGACCTTCCAGAGGCTGCCACGGTCGCTGCTGGGTCCGTGACCTTCCAGAGGCTGCCACGGTCGCTGCTGGGTCCGTGACCTTCCAGAGGCTGCCACGGTCGCTGCAGGGTCCGTGACCTTCCAGAGGCTGCCACGGTCGTTGCTGGGTCCGTGACCTTCCAGAGGCTGCCACGGTCGTTGCTGGGTCCGTGACCTTCCAGAGGCTGCCACGGTCGTTGCTGGGTCCGTGACCTTCCAGAGGCTGCCACGGTCGTTGCTGGGTTCGTGACCTTCCAGAAGCTACCACGGTCTTTGACCAGACTACACACTAGAAGGTGAAGGGACGACGACGTTTCGGTCCGTCCTGGACCATTCTCAAGTCGACTGCCAGGGTCGTTGCTGGGTCCGTGACCTTCCACAAGCTGCCAAGGTCGTTGCTGGGCTCGTGACCTTCCAGAAGTTCTCTAAACCAAGTGTGTAAAAGTATGTATGTGTAAACTTATTATCAATAGGGGATTCCACCTCTGGTTGAATTATGGAGGCGTCGTAAAAAAACATTGGAGGGAACCACGCTGGCCCCCGCGTTTTATATATGAATTATATGTCATTCACATGTATAACCTACAGTTGGAACAAATTCGTCAAATGTCTCCTATGGCTATGCATTGTTTCACAGATATAAGACCACTCATAATATAACCTTTCCTTGTGTCATCAGGTGTACAGTGTTCCCATCAGTTTAACCTTAAAATGACTGTGAATGAAATTCTAGATCGGCTTCCGTAGTTTCTTTTGGTAGGCTCACTTATGACTCCTGGTCCGCCAGTGGTAGAGGAGGAGGTCTTTTCTCCTGTTTTGGTAAACCATCCTTTTTGAGGGGGGGGATTATTAGTCGTCCTGGGTGTTTAGTCCTTGGTGCTATCATAGTGCTTGGTTCTCGCCACCAGAGGACTGTCCTACTATGGGGCCACCTCCCGCTGGTAGAGGAAACGAGAGTTTTTGGCGTCAATGGTCACATGCGGGAAAGATGTGTGGGTCTGGGTGTATAGTGACTGCAGGGCATTGGCCGGCCGAGCATCTCCTGGCCGCCTTAACTCCACCCCTCTACCCACACCTCAGTTTCACGGGCACAGCAACTGTTGGGGGCCACCTATACCGTGCAGGGTATGGTGGCCCTCAGGGAAAAACCTCACTGAAAAACCTCGCTCTCACAGGGGGAGAAACCTCACTACGCCAAATAAGATTCTTGACAATGGGAAACCCTCCCAAAAGTGTCCCCCCGATCTTAGGACCGAGAGTTTAACTCCTGGAATCCGTTTTACTTTCGCTTAATGACAAATTCGATATTTTAATCGCGTTCATTTGAATCATTTTTTGCGTAGACTATGAATTATTTTCATATATAATTTGAGCTATTTTGGCACGATTGGAATTACTATTATACAACTCATATTATTTTTGGGGGATATGATTTTAATATAAATGATTGAGAATATTACGAACTATTCTTGGCATAAGAATTATTTTTGGAAGAATATGATTCTCAGTTGAATGTGATTTTTATAAGAATAATATTTATTCCGAGAATTATTTTTGGAATATAAATTAGCTGACGTGCAAAATAAATTGTTTCCCTTCGACAATTTATACTGCCAGCGGAATGATTAAAGAGCAGGAGGAAAAATATTCGTTTAAAAACTGAATTAGTCTGCATAAAATATGGGCTCTTCTCACTGGCATTCAGAGGGGGGGGGGGGCAATGGTCGTTCATGCGAGCGGTTTGTATATTCACCTAGTTATGCTAGCGGGGGTTGAGCTCTGGCTCTTTGGGCCCGCCTCTCAACTGTCAATCAACACATCCCCAGCCCGGAGGGGGGACATCCGCAGGAAGCAGCCCGTAGCAGCTGTCTAACTCCCAGGTACCTTATTTATTGCTAACTAATAGGGTCATCAGGGTGAAAGAAACTGTGCCTATTTGTTTTCTCGTCACCAGCGACTTGAGAATGGTCCAGGACGGACCGAAACGTCGTCGTCCCTTCACTTTCTAGTGTGTGGTCTGGTCAACATATTTCAGGCACGTTATTGTGACTCCTCGTCTGTGAGGATATCATACAATCCTCTCCTTTAACTGTATAGAGAAATCACTCTTGGTATTCAGGCCACACTGGCTGGATAGGCAACTGAGCACCGGACATCAAACACGCCAACAATATTGTGTCACCTGCAATATTTGCTGCTGCAGCTGCCGAGCTGTTGTTGCATGACTAGTTGGTGTGTGGAGGTAGTTCCTGCTCTGTGATACAGGACCAACAGTTCCACTCGTGCTCCCTCTTAGTCATCGCTATACACCAACACACAACCAGCTCCTTGTGGCCAGTCCCCAGGAGCCCGTGGACAAGGCGTGCGGACACTCACATCACTGGACACACACTGACTGTCTAACACAGGGTTGCCAGATCCAAATTGCTGAAAGTAGCGAGCTGAAGGTCTAAAAGTAGCGAATTTGTTATAAGAATAGCCCAATTTTTTGTTTAGTGACTAATACGGATTTCAAAGTAATATATTATGATACATAGAGTACATAAAACGATTTTAATTGTTTTGTTAATATTATCTCTGCATATATATATTTAATCAATATGATAATAGGATAACTTATCAATATTTACTGTTTGAAGCCTAATGGGTGTGGAGTCCTTCCACGTCTTTACAGTTGAAGATTACAAAGATCTTGATCTGCATCCACAACCTCGTACTTGTATATTGCAGACTCATATTTAAGCATTGACATGAGTGGTTCAAATGACGAGCAACAAGTTACATTTTCTTCAAGATATGTTTTGATTCTCAAGATTGATGTCAAAAGCTTAAGTCCCATTCGATTTCTCAGTTTAGTTTTCACAGACGTTACTCTCGAAAATACCCGTTCAACCAGGGCATTACTGATTTGCAAGCTGTATATTTTCAAGGCAAACTGGGCGAGGTCAATCAGTATGGGATCGCCAGCAGCGTTCTTGACAGTTATTGTCTTGGTCTAAAATGACGATTCAGATGTTGGAATTTGTCCCTCACAAATGTTGGACCAGTCAATGGTTAACAGTAGGCGCCACTGACTTTCAATTTCACTAAGTTTAGATTGGTCAGCTAATACTAATGGAAGTTCTGAAAATGGTGGCTTTGTGTAGCTAAGGCATATGATTGGTAACAGATTTTTCACCTTTTTTAAAGTTTCAACATTACTAAGAATACGAGAAAGAAGGTTTTTGCAAGCTTTCACTAAAAAAATATCGCATCTTTCTTTAATATTTTGAAACTTTTCCTGGGTTATAAAATTGTTTTGACTGTTAGTGTCCCGAAGTGTTGAAAATTCGTACTAAAGTCAACTTTCTCCAGGGGCAGATATATGGAATTGTAGTCCAAATTAACATGAAGCTTTACATGATGAGGATGCACGATTCTTCTGAGTATTCCAAGAGTGAAATTTTCTAAGACAGTGTGAAGGCTATACTGATCCGCTTCATCTTTTTGATAAAGTAAATTCATCCTTTCAAAACCATTTAGGATTGGTTTGAGACATGTGAAATATAGCTTATTGGAGGGATCAGAGTACATTGAAAATAGTTGCCTTGCAACATATTTATCACAAGAGGAAAAAAGCTATTTGGTAATGAGGTGTTAAAGACTCACACTGATCTAACAGCCGCTTTACACTACCGCTCCTTGCCAACCATCGTCTTCCTGACAAAGGTATTAACTGTAGGGGATCTTTCCCATCATTTATCAATCTGGAAATTTCTAGATAACTTTCTTCCCTTCATGAAGATCTCTTTAACCAGGTGTAGCTTTTGGGATGAAGTATTAATGACAATTAAGGTTGGGAAATCTATTGCCCCTGGGGAGGATTACCTTGCCTTGCGGTTACTTTTTCTTCCGAAGGTTCCTAGGATCAATGTGGGATAGATGTTCATGATAATGACACGAGGTGTAAACTATGTGGTATGTTAAGGTCTCACACCCTGGCCCATTATGTTCTTGATTGTCCGTTGATTAATGTATATAGAAACACTGAGATAAGGACTGTTCCTGAACAAATAGCCTGGATGTGTCACAACGGAAAGGTTGATGATATTCTTGAGAGATATAAGAATTTTGCACCAAGATTGTAATATTTTGTTGAATTATCTGTATGTCTCTTGCAAATTGTCTATACAGTATACCTAGGTCATAAAAGTATTTGTGTGTACGTCTGATAACATACTCCTTGTGAAGGAGGAAATGTATATGTTTACCTCTCAGAATGTTTGGCAATATGTTTATTTGTGATGTGTGTCTATGTATATATTAACACGTTGTACTGAATGGGGTGAGAATAGCTTGAGCTACCTCATCCCTTTGTGTGTATTTTACCTCAATAAACTTATTTCAATAGGATCAATGTCCCCAGGGGGCCGGTCTGGGACCAGGCCTCCTGGGGTAAGTGGTCTAGTCAGTCAGACTAGATGAGAGACGACGAGACGAGAAAGACGAGAGAGATATCAAATAATATACACCTGGAAGATACTGGAGGGCCAAGTACCAAATCTACACAGTAAAATAACAACATACTGGAGTAAACGATATGGAAGAAAATGTAGAATAGAACCAGTGAAGAGCAGAGGTGCCATAGGCACAATCAGAGAACACTGTATAAACATCAGAGGTCCGCGGTTGTTCAACGTCCTCCCAGCAAGCATAAGAAATATTGCCGGAACAACCGTGGACATCTTCAAGAGGAAACTAGATTTATTCCTCCAAGGAGTGCCGGACCAACCGGGCTGTGGTGGATATGTGGGCCTGCGGGCCGCTCCAAGCAACAGCCTGGTGGACCAAACTCTCACAAGTCGAGCCTGGCCTCGGGCCGAGCTTGGGGAGTAGAAGAACTCCCAGAACCCCATCAACCAGGTATCAACCAGGTAAGTCAGGCTGTTGGACGCGGCTGTGATTTGTACACATTATATTATTAAAGCATAAATAATCATCATTGAGTTTTTTAATATTAATAGCCCTAAGTAGCCCAACTTGCTTTTAAACTAGCCCAAAAAGTCGCAAGTAGCGAAATTAAAAATATGGGAGCGCGGGGTTCTCAAAAGTAGCCCAATTCGCTACTTGTAGCTTAATCTGGCAACCTTAGTCTAACACGGGAACAACCTGTCCCCAGGCCAGGCTCGTATGACCTGCGGCCGCCGCCCCACAACACGCCAACCAGTCCTCGACTTAAGTCCATTCCATCCAGCGGTCGACCCCACAGACGCATTCATTAATTTTAACATGCTGTTCATTCAAAACGGGAGTTTTTTCAAATATAAATTAATATGATAATATATTAACATATTTTGCATACATAGGTTAGGTCAGGTGTTTAGGTTCTGTTGACGATTATTTGTATTTGTAGAACGTGAGTGAAGCATTTACAGCGTTGTGGTTCGAGCAAAAGTCGTCAGTGAAGCACTTGTTCCGGAAGTGTTCGAACGTGAACAGTTGTGAGTCGTGTGTAAACCGTTTTACATTCATAAACCAGCCCGTCCTCCCAGCCCGTCCTCCAAACAAAGACCCAAAAGTGATTCCATCCACCCGCCAAAACCCCATGAATATTTGACCAATATTTATAAGGACAGATGCATAGAGTAAACACGACAGTCAGAAGGAACAGAGAACTTAAACAGGACACCGGGAAGCGAGACGCGGGACAGACTTCCTCATGCAACTCTAACTACACGTACAGGATCTAAGAATAAAGATGCTGGATGAACTAATGTGGTTATCTTGAGATAATTTCGGGGCTTAGTGTCCCGTGACAGCTGACTAACTCCCAGGTACCTAATTTACTGCTAGGTAACAGGGGCATAGGGTGAAAGAAACTCTGCCCATTGTTTCTCGCCGGCGCCCGGGATCGAACCCAGGACCACAGGATCACGCGTCCAGTGTTCTGGACTATATAATATTCCTCTGCAGTTTCTCATGTCAGTTGAGGACATGTACGGCTGAAAGGTTAAGTCTGGACGTAATAGTACTTACCTAGCAGTGCTTACCTAATATATAGGGTAACGTACTTACCTAACAATATTTACCTATGTATATCTACACAGAAATCACAATAACGTGATATATCCCAAATGAACAAATCCACAAGAGCCATTTTTTTTTTACCATGTCGCGGTACACTCGACTAGAGCGCGTCTGGGAACATCCAACGCCTAGGTTCGAACCCTGATCAAGGCCTTTGTGAATTTGTTTATTTACATCCACCCAAACCCATTCACATTTATGTTTAACCTACACAGTTTAGTACACCATTTTTGGTGACGTGTCAACTGGAGAGGATGGTGATGATGATGATGGTGGTGAAAGTGGTGATGGTGATGGGAGTGATGGTGAGGGTGGTTGTAGTGTAGCAGGTAGAGGAGAGGGGGGCAGGGAAAGACTCCCCCCCCCCCTTCCCCTTCCTCCACGTGGTAATTACCATTTGCCGCCGAGCTAGTAATGCATTTTCCTCTTTCCCGCCAAAACTGGAGAAGCTTTTGGATTGGAAACAACTCTTCTCGCTCCATCACCCGGACGGACACAGAGAGTCTACCTCCCTTGCGACGCAGAGGCCAAGGGGGGGGAGGGAGGGAGGGGACCTTACAGTAGTTGGGAGGGTAGGAGAGTAGTTTGGAGGCGTGACCAAGTGTTCAAGAGACTAGCGTGACTGGTTGGGGGAGTCGTGACTGCCTTCAACTGCTCAATTAAAAGCATTAAAATGGCAAAATCTTTTCCGTCATCAGCTGACTGAGATATACTGGAAAAGAATGAAGAAATATTTGTAATATCAGAAGTTTGTGATAATGGTATTTGTGGTAGGATGTGTAGCTCCAACATTTCTGTTTTTCTGTTCAATTCCAATGTCAGTGTTTTTAGCTGGCCGCGGTGAGCGTCCCAGCCGCCCGTGTGAGCCGCAGGTAGGGGGGGGGGGGACCCCAGTACTTTTATCCTGACCTCATCTGTCTAGATGGCGTTCACAGTGATAACACTGACACCAATTTCCACCCCTACCAACAGATTCCCAAACAACAGTAAGCTATCTCTCTCTCTCTCTCTCTCTCTCTCTCTCTCTCTCTCTCTCTCTCTCAAACTAAGACTAGGGTTCATAAGGAATGGTGCTGGTGCTCCTAATAAACTAGGGTGACTTATCCATCTAAAAAGACGACTTATCACCCAAAAACGTATCAGCTAGAAATACAGATTTGTGAGTAGGCAGATAGCTTTGTGGACAATGTTATTCGTTTATAAACAGTAACTAAATGTAAGCACTCACGTATGTACAAAACAGACCATTTTGCATACGGTCATGTGTGTGTGTGTGTGTGTATGTGTATGTGTATGTGTATGTGTGTGTGTGTGTGTGTGT